TTTTTTTTTTTTTTTTTTTTTCAGTTCAATGACAATAAAACCAATAATGATTTGTTTTCTAAAATAGTAGTGTTGTTTAATCCTTTTGTTTTTTTCAGGTGTCCGTTTTGATTGAACAACGCATATTAATATTTTACTTATAAATTTTTTAAAATCTTATTTGCAAGCAACGGTTCCCGTATTTGCTGTTGTACACTTACAACGTTGCTTTTGATCTCTTGTACGCGGCATAATAGTTGAAATAATTTTCTGGTGCTGGAAGAGTTTCAGGAACTAATCAATCATGTTATTTTTGAAGAGGGCTATAATATTTGTAGCACAATTTTTTTTGAGGATATTTTTTGATATCTTTTTCCTCCAGTATGTTTGGTATGTTTGTTGTTAATTGTGCACTTAAAGATCCTTTGTTTCAAGGTCGGCGCACGTAGCATTAAGATTATGACTAGGTCCTTTAACCCTATAATTGTACAGTTTATTCTAGTACTTATTAAGGGGATTACTTAACCAAGTTATTGTTATCATTTCCCGTTTTGTTGGCTGTTGTCGTCGTCACTGCCCAAAACGACTTTTGTGTATCCTTTTCTGTATTTTGTGAAAGCGACCCATTTTTTAATTATTTTGTTTTTTTTTTTTTTGTTGTTTAATATTACGGTATTTGTTTATTTAAAGTTGTCAGTTATTTCATTGTAATTATTTCGTTTTGAGAGTATTGTTTTTTAATGGAAATCCTGAAGTTCCAGAAGTAGCTTTTTTTTTCCAAAAGGATGTCCCGCTTTCGTAGATTGAGAATTGGGCGTAACCATTAGGATGAGCAGATATTGTTGTCTTTTTACTTATAAAACCGATGATCTTATATATGTTAAACACCTCGGCATTCACTCAGTTTGCCGTTGTATGTGTTATTGTTGATGTAAACGTTTACGCTTAGTGAAGTAAACTGGATAGATTAAATTGAAATACCAGAGCTACGTTGTATTTATTACTTCCCTATTTGACAAAAAAGGTGGTGAACGTATCCAGGCTGCAAACGTTTTTGTGGACGTCTGTAGATCTTCAACAGACTTGTAAAGTGGAAATGATTAGTTGAGTCACTTTGAGCGGTAGTTCTGAAGTCATTTTTAGGTAAACGAGTGTCAGTTGGATAGGCGGAAGTGTATATTATTATGAAGGTTTGCAGCATAGTGGGAATTAAAGTGAAGGGAACGAAGAAGTGTGTTGAAGGCGACTTGTTCTTCAACTTAGGTACTAGCCTCTGACACACAAATTTCTCAAGTTCCTGTGCAGTGCTCTGCGGAATGTTGTTACATTGCCCAAAAGTATTTCAGAGAGACCTGTCGACCTCATTAATGTGCGTGACTCCCCGAGTACTTCCTTAATAGCGATGAAAATTTGTTAAGTGGTTACTCCCATCTAAACCAAAACTTGATCGGTTGTGCCCGGGAGATGAGTAATACACAAAACCGCCCCACGACTTACCAGTTGCGTACAAAAGCGCCACAGACAAACAAATGAGCAAAAGAAGTGGTAAGGATCCAAATATAAACACCTTACTGATCTTTTTTAATTCAAAACATCAAATATCATATCAGACTACCTTAACCACATCGTCACAGACACAGTTGCTTTGTTAAGACAACTCGTCCTCCTACAGATCGTCACAGAAATGATATTGAAATTTAATCTCTATTCCACGACAGTAACGTAGTCAATCATTCCTAAGCCACCTGCTCATACTCAACGGTAACGGCACTTACACAAGTCCCACCAATGCTCACTCGCCATCTACAGTAACTAAACACCGCCTTTCAAGAGTGATATCCTTTCAAGACGTTCGGTTGTTCGACAGCTTTTGAAAATTTAAAATTTTTTCTTCACTTAATATCAAAAACACTCTCACAAATATAAGATTTAAAAACTCAAACTTTGAAAACTAATTCCGATACTGTTTAGAGCACAAGTCGTAAGACCCACAAGCTTCCATTAAAGAGAGAAGAATACACTAGCTGCTTTGTGCCTTCACACTTGACAACTGGAAAATGAACAGAAACTAGAACAAAAAAGCAGTAGAGAAGACTCGCGCAACATTCAACATCCCAATGATAACTTTCAAACGTCTTCTTAATACATTAAAAACACTTGCCACTTTGCCTGTTTGTAGAGTTTATAACATTTACGCAGTACTGTCTGTTTCATGAACTGAGGACCTTAAGATTTCAGTACGCTTCTTCTATGCCAAAATATTTTGGAAAAATCATCGATAAATACGTGATTTATGAAACTGCTGACTTCCAGAAGTCACCAGGTGAGATACTACACTTTTAACTGTTAAATTAACACTTATAAGAGAGGAATGGTTCTGTGGAATACCCGCGATTTCTTATAGGTACAAATAATAGTTGAGGTTAACAATAATTTTAGTAATTTTTCGGAGCGGCTCCCGAAGTAGAGATATGGCTTTCTGTTAAGCCGCTGCTGCTCTTCTGTGCGCTGCTGTCATTTGCTTCACCATATCAGCATTCAATTCGAAGTCAGTTGAGATCATATATGCCCTGTTTAGTGGCATTATCTAGAAAACTTATCATTAATACCAGTTCTCAGTAGTGAGCATATATAATCCCTGAAGAAAGAGTGCTGTGATCAACTTCTGTCTCGCACGCGATAAAAACCTCTTCTGCATCAAAGTATCACTATTGACTTTAGCTTGTAATACAGACGACGGAACTACAAAAGGTAACCTGCAAATTGCGAATTTTAAAAAGCGGATGCAATGGTATCGGTATTCCGTCTTTTAAAATATCGTTAACCATTCTCTGCATAACTTCACGGCACAGGAAACTCGCATCATCCAGTTCTTCCTGGTCCAAAACATCTGTGGACAGCGAAATCTAAAAAAGTTCATTTGATCGGCAAAATGAATTTAACACACTTTAGATTTTGCATGCTTGGATGTTCTCAAGCGAGAAATCAAGAATGTTTTTTCGAATGAAATGCTAGTTTCCCAAATAAACTGATGCAACTAACTCATAACAAAAGAAATATTACAAACTTACAAACTGCACTTTTTCAAGCGCTATCTTACTCCTAATAAACGAGCGCACTACTTTTGCTTTGAATGTAGCTTCTATGACAATATCCACTTCCCCAACTCGCTTTTCCACCCCGTGCGCATCAATGGCCAACAGTGATAGTCTCCCATCCACAGCAAGAAATGACCCTAAGACAGTCTAATCTACAATGGCACTACCAATGAACAGGACAGCCACGACATGAGAGCCTACTTCGATGAATGCCATATGTAAACAAAAACCTGCCTTTATTTCCAGATCGAAAAATGACAACTGGAGGCCGTCTACTAGAAAATATCATTGCTATACCAGAATCAGGGTAATAGTGTTTTAAAGTTGGAAGGATATCACCCAGACAAAACAGGGTACCGGACCCTATACCACATGTTGTCTGCATCATTGATCCTATTTGCGGAGTCGACGGGTCTACTCGAGTGTTAAATAAACCAAGCCTTTAAAAAAGTAAATGTCTACAGCTACCCTTTCTGCTTCTAACAGAACTTGAATAGTTTAATTCCAAAACTTCTAACAAATGGAAGCTCTATATTTCAGAAAAAGAGTTAATACTTGCTCCTTTTTTTTACTTTAATTATTAAATTATACTTGTGGCTCTGATACATCATGGAGTTCGGAACAAAATCGGTAACCAAAACTTGAAGCATTTTTGATGAATTTGTTGAAGCTGGGAAGGTGATATTAACAGGCCCAAATGGTGTTTCACCTGCTCCCTTAGCATATACTTCAGCGGAGCAACCCACTTCTAAGAAATTTTCTTTCACCACCGGCCCTTCATTAATACTGTGGTCCAAAAGAAGGTTCCCGGCTTTACTCTAAGCAGAAGTGTACATGAAGAAATTGGCATTTTATGATTTATAAAATTTTTCAAAGCTTTATCTAATTACCAATTTTGAATTTTTTACAATAGAAGCTGCTGCGGAAGTTATAGACTGCTGACGTCGCCTGCAAAAAAATTTTAAAATAAAAGTCATTTCCTCGCTTACATGGTTCCCAACAACATTAATCTATTTTCTTATCAACACAGTCAATCACGTCTTCTGAAAGCAAAAGCTAACCGTTTAGACTTGAAAATCCCTCCTAAAAGATTTGAATTAGCAGCTTCAGAAAGATGAAGTTGTGACCGCAATTGGGCAAGCCGCATGTTGATTCTTTCGTCTATTACGGCACTGGTCCGACTGCATACTAACGATTGTAAAAGGTATGATCCGTCTTGAACCAATAATCTCTAAAGCAAGAAACAATACTTCTCCCAGTCAGCTGTACTTCAGATTTCCACCAAAGCTGAAGCCTTCTGTTTTCAAAACTCCTAGCCTCGTATTTAGGCTTATCAACTTACGTGAAGAGTAACAGAATCTTCTTTCTTGTTATTGTCAAAAAGTACACCGATTGGACTAAGTTGAAAAACATGACAATCATCAACTTTTACAGTCACTGAACCATTTTTTGTCCTGAGAACAAACATTGTTAAGTTCATTTGAACAGATTCTGAATGAATAGCCACGGATTCATTATAGTAATTACCACTGTAATTTCCGTAGATCAGTCCTTTCATCCTGCAATGAAAAGCCTTTAAATCATCAAATCAAGTCAGCGGTAAAAATATGGAAGTTCAATTTAATCTATTTAATTGTATGATCCTGTAAAAAATGCAGCAAGTTTATCCTTCAACTTGAAATAAAAATATTACAAAGCCATTTTGCCAAACAGCCTGATTCTCTAATAAAAGCTGCAATTTCTTTACCTGTCTGCCAACTTCTTCATTCAGGAAATTATTATTTTACAATTATACTTTGTTATTTCGTCTGTGTTTCAACTTGTTTTTGCTTTTTTAATATGAGCTATTAATTTTTGTTTCAAAACCTCATAAATCGTGTGAAAACTTACAGAAGATTATGAAGTTCAAATGTGATGAATAGACTAGCTGGTTCCAAGCCAGTAACGTTAGTTTTTAATAGTTGTTTGTTCAACCCAATAGCTACTGTTCTTAACAATAGGCCTGTATCTGGTAACTGAAACGATATATCTTTTAAAATTTTTTTAAAACCTCATGTTTGTCAGGCCTTCTACTGCGAATTACCACTAGCAAAAACCCAATACAACTGTGGACAAACTTCCAGCATACTACCTGTAATAACTGAGGTTCCGGAAAATTAATGATTTCATCAGCAACAGCTTCAGTCAATTTCTGTACAATATGTTGTAAACCGGTTGTAGAGAGTCGAAGCCTTGCCCCAATACCCTTCTGAAAATAGTAATTTTCTAGATAATCGATTCGACAGTATCAAAACCAGTACTTACTGCCAACGAAAATTTAATGAAGTCCTGTGTGTTACTACTCTGCTGTGAACAGTCAGCACAAAAATAACAGTGGAATTTCAGATATAAAAAAAGCGTAGTAAAAGAAAAATAGAAAAACTTGTACCGGTAGAAAAAGTTCATCCCGAAGCAATGGATTAATATCAAAGTAGGCATTGGCTGATACCTCGAAGATGCCAAAAATGAGAATTATCTGAAAAATTATGAAGTTCCACCCGTCATTTATACCAGATTAAATAAAAGTATCTGTTATTTCATCATCAAACAGCCAGTTTTTTTTCATCATTTTTTCTGAAGGTATTAAACAGGAGAACTGAGAGCGCAATAGTAGACAAAAGAAAAATGAGAAATAGAAAATGTAGTAATATAAAGTAAAAATAAAAGTATATAAGTACAAAACAAAGTGAATAAAACAAAGCAAAAATCAAGTAAAAAATTAAAAAAGAATACGAAACTTAGAAAAACACGAGCATATTTTTGCTGCTGCTATTGAACATTTTGCTTTTTATTAGGCATGAATATATCTATAACTTGAAATTTTCAGCTTTGTGAATAAAATAGAAAAATACTTGAACAAACTGTTTCCTATGGAATAAATGGCTCATAAGGTTTCCGGGATGAAAATATTTTTGCTCTAATATCTCAGAAAACCAGTGAATTTTCACCTACCGAGACTGAAAACAACCTTCCATTTATAGAAATTTAAACTCTAAAAAAAAAAACAACTTTATAGTTATCTTTAGTGATCTGAATGAGCCAAAAGTCATTTAATCGGTTCAGTAAGCCAAAATTGGTGCCGTAACCAATTAGGCAAACAAAAAAGAAATGATTGTTTAACGTGCGTAGATCTGCAACGAAAAGATTGAAAAAAAGGCAAAAGTTCCTTGCTTTTAAGTTTTCAAATTCCTTTCTTGTAATAACTAATCTACACACTTGATATTCATGAAAAAACAATGATTGGGACAAACAGACAAACAAATGAAATGTATGATTAATCCAACAATCAGATCAACTCAACATATTTACAAAAATTTCATTGACACAGGAATAGGGCTTTTTAAAAAAGTTATTTTTACTTTAACCACCAACTAGAAATAGAAAACCAGCTTACTTTTTCTTTCCTACTGCAGTACAGCTCTAGTGCCCAGTGAAAATCATCCCAACATATACTATTTTCATCCAATACAGTAACTTACAGAAACTAATCATTTTTCTAGAAAAAGGTAACATCAATCATCTATAAGGAGTCAGACATTTAAAAAGTTACTAACTAAAAAGAAGTGATAATTTGCAATATACAATTCGAAAAAAAAAGAATGGCAAATTTAAGCTAAATGAAGGACATAACACTTTCACTTAATCTTTTGAAGTCCAAAAAAGAAAAGAAGTTCAATATGCACAGTGCAGTTGAAAGCAAAAAAACTTTTTCATGTTTACCTACAACTAACAAATCGTTTTCCTATGTTTACTAAAATCAAAAATTTTTTTAGATTTTTTCCCCAAAAAGTTTCCCACACAATAAGCAAAAAAACTTAACCGGATGTATTCCAAAGTTACTTTAAAGAATAACTGTGATACTGAAAATGCTACAAATTCGAAAGCATTCTTTCTTTGTTGTTAGATACAGATTCTATCAGTTCCAAAAAGTATTCTGAACAATTTTAAATTGGCGATGACAAATACGCAGGAAAGAAAAACAAAGAAGAAAGTTGAGGATAAGAAAATGCACTGAAGAATTGACCGTACCTTGCTCAAACCTCGGGCTAACAGTTACAATACGAAACGGAGAAAAGTGTTATTACCTGAAGTAACGACTGAAGCAAGCGCCTGAGAAGCTGTGTCATTGAAGCGAATGGTCCGTAACAGATGACAAATGGCAAGAACGTAAGACTGAGGTCCGAATGGGTCTGCTCTTCGTACCCTTCAACAGAGTCCTTTTTAGTTGGCATTCAATTGCGTAATAGCCGGAGGCATTTTCACTTTCACGCCACAATCCCCTTAGGGGGGGAAGGGGAAAGATGTTGACTTTTTCTTTAGACTACTTTAGTGGAAAAAAATTTTTTTTTCAATGTTACGCGAATAGGTTATTGCAACATTGTTAAAGACGGTGCATTTTGTTCCGGAGCTTCTTTTCCAAGTATAATTTGACCGAAAGAAAAAAAATTCAGTTTATCGCTTGTTAGATCTGGTGCACGAAAAAATTGTGCGTATTCTGAATGGTCGGTACAAATATCTCCATTACACATGCCTTTTTTCAAACACTCAAAAATTATCCTTTTAGAAAACCTTTTTTATATAACGTTTAACCTGCCAACAGTTTTTTACGCTATAGTCAGTTCAGTAGGCACTGCACGTAGTTTGCAGAATTTGTTAGAAAGATGTTATTGACCTGATAAATACTACTGAAACATCAAAGGGAAAACAAAGAAGGTAACCGGTATTGATTTGGAATGGTGTAGAAATACGGTTGAGACTTTATGCTCTGTATTTTAATTTTGATAACTGATTTGCAAAAACAATTTAAGTTGAGAATTTCACAAGAAAAGAGATATTTTCTTCTCTCCTCCACCGCAACATTGATGGGAAATTTTTTGCAAAATACATTTTTTGCTTCCTCTGTAAACAGTTATGTTTCAAAGTGCCTCTTTAAGAAACCTGAAGGGCGTGATAGAGCAGTGACAACAGTACAGTGTTTTATTACAATTAGTTTTGCTAATAGAAAAAATTTCCAAAATTATCTAAGCGTCAAGGTTTTTCTAGAAAACATTTCAACTATATTAACTTCAATTTTAATGACGCCAAGAAAATAGCGCCGTGATTTTTGCCGGCTGTCGTCAAACTGTTCCACGTTGCGTTCCAAATCATTCAAAGCAATTTTCAAAATCTGTTGTCACTATTTCTTGTAAAGCTTATATTGTCCTAATCTTTTTGTTAAAACACTTGATACTCCTTTTTAGGCACTAAGAAAAGTAGCTTTTTAGCTTTTAAATTGTATTAGGTTGTCAATTTGTTTGAGTGTACAAAATATTGTCAGGATTTTTATGACTAAACTGAAGAAAGCCCCAAGAGAAAAGATTAATTTATAAAAGAATTTATTTCTCTTATAAATCTCTTATGCTGTTTGCTTTTAGCAAAAAAAGCTCGCAATTGTTAAACCTTTAAAGGAACGGGCTTTATGAAATTTAAAAAAAGAAAAAAAAATAGAAAACGCTTCGTACTTTTTTGTTGCAAATTAATAAAAGTACTCTGAAATATAAAAAAAATATAAAGATTGAACAGGAAGGTGCCAGCAATGATCGGAATACGGATAGGATTGGAAGGAATAAAGAATTTTTTAGCGAAATTGGGGACAAGACAATATTTTAGCTTGAAATAGGCGGAATTTCCGTTAACCTTTTTTTCAGAAGTTAGACACGATAATGATGCTTTTATAGTATTCCGCCTTTTGGAACAATGATTCAATGGGAGGAGTCTTTTTTTTTACGAGTTTGATGGTATTTTGTACTTCAAGTATTAACGTATACAGTAAATTGAAAATTCAGAGATAAGTAGAATATGTGAAAAAAAGCAGCATTCGCAGTTGAACCTTGAAGTTTGGTTCAGTTGTACGAAGTCAAAAAAACTGAGATTGACGGGTTAAAGAGAGAAATATTGGGTTTGAAAAAACTGTCATTTTTCACAGAACTTAAAAGATGTTCACGTGACGTGTCATTGAACCAAAGTTGAAACATATCATTATCAGTGGTTGGCCAACTTAACATTCTGTTTTTGTGTCCACCTTATCAGCAACAGACTGTTTTACTGGATAGTTTTAAGAATTGTTTTTAACAAGATGCAAGTAATGCTATCATTTACTTTTAGTTCGATGGCAGTCTGTTTTCGCAGTCTTTTGAAATGACGTGCTTCATTGGATCAGGATGTGGAACAACAGTAAACTATGAAACCGTTTTGCGCGGCAGCTGGTTTAAAAGTTATTTTTTAAAAATACGTATTGTTTTTAGGAAAATGAAAATAAAAAATTAAATTCAAAAATTATTCTGTTTTTGTCGTTAATAGCAGATGTGGACGGTTATGGAACTTTGGTCAGCTGTAGAACGAAATTTCCAAGTTGTTTACTGTTGTTTTAATATCTGTGACATTTGACCTTACTCAGAATATTTTTGATTTCCTTTGCTGTTTTGATATAAATTAAGCATTCCTATGGTTTTTCTTTTGCATGTGTCATTTAAATGTTAA